AAGACCGCCAAGGGCTACGCCGGGGAATACGACAAGCTGATCACCAAGACGTAGTTGTGGCGACCGTCTCTACTGGCGGAGTCGAGGAGGCTGCGCGCGGCGCGGCACGATCGCATCGTGAGGCCGCTGCCCTTGCTGAACGAGGAGGACGACAGCGGCCAGGATTGGCGGCGCCCAGAGAGGGTAGGGGGAGGGGGGAAGGCTTCTTGGAAGGAGGCTGCTTCTTAGCAGGCGCCAGCCTTACATCTATAGGCAAGGCCCACACCTTCTAAGGGGCAGGGGTGCTTCTAACAAGCCTTCCCCCCTTCCCCTACCCTCCTCTGCGCGCCGCCAAGGACGACAGCGGCCAGGAGGTGGTGCAGTGCAGGATGACGATCCAGGGGCTCGATGACACAGACCTGCTGGTCACAGGTCGCAGGCAGGCGCCAACCCTCTCGTGCAACGGCAGGGCGTCCGTGCTGCAGACCATCGCGTCGGGCAAGTTCCCTCTGGCCATCGCCGACGTCGAGGGCACCTTCGTCGAGACGGACGCCGCCCTGGCCCCGGTCGAGCACGGCACGATCTGCGTGTCCCTGCCGCTGCCCAAGGACTTCCATCCTGATCAGCTGTGTGAGGTGATCCACAGGTACGGCCGAAGTGACTGACCTCAGCTGCGCTGGCGCTGGCTGACGCTCAGCACATTTTGCGTGGAGGAGCTGGGCTCCTCGAGGACATCGAGGGAAGCCCGACTTTCGCCCCAGACGAATACCGAGTGATCGAGGAAGGTGTTGCGGAGCCCATCGAGTGGCTCGCCCGGGGGACCCGTGCGGCGTCCCGGAACAGCTCGTGGGCGACGATGGGTGCTCAGAGGTCGAGGCTCCTAGTGGTCCGGAGCCTTGGCGGTTCTGGAGAAGCGGCTCCCCTGCCGCAAGTGACAGGAGAAGGAGGGCGAGTTCAGAGGAGGAGGAGGAGGAGGAGGAGGAGGAGGAGGAGGAGGAGGAGGAGGTAGAGGAGGAGGGTGAGGAGAAGGAGGAGGAGGAGAAGGAGGAGAAGGAGGAGGAGGAGGAGGTAGAGGAGGAGGGTGAGGAGAAGGAGGAGGAGGAGGAGGAGGAGGAGGAGGAGGAGGAGGAGGGGTCCATGCTGCATCAGCTAGAGGACTACACGATCGTGCAGTCCCAGCGCCAGTACGCCGAAGCGGGCGTCGGCCCGCCAGCACGCCCGCGCGGATGCTCCGGCAGTCCCGTCCGGGATCGACACGGAAGGTGGCTTGCTGCGCAGAAGCGTCCAGACCTCAGCATGCTCGCGAGCTCGAACTAATAGAAGATACCCCAGCCGACGGTAGGTGAGATTCGCCGGGGCCATATGCTCGCTCGTCGTGCTCAGCAGTGCGCCGAGCAGGAGATTTGGAACCCTCGATCCCCATCGACCAGCTCACCGTCATCCTCGCCTCCGACTACTTCCCCAAGGAAACGTCAAACGTGGGGCACACGCACGGGGTGTACATCATTGGGAGTGGCGGACTGGAGCATGCAGAAAGGGTTGGCACTGGCGGGTCGGGGGAGCCCAAGTATCTGGAGGAGTTATCGGGTCCGTAGGGTGGTCAAGTCGACCATGGGCTCGGGCACTTAGAGTGGGTGATGTGTTTCTTCGCCATGGGCTTCTCTAGTGGTTTCACGTTAGGCGATCGAGTCATGGGAAGCCCGTCCAGAATCAATCATAAGCGGTGTGCAGTTGACATTGCCATCAGTAAGGAGAGCCTAGCCCGGATGGGCTCCACATTGAGATGGGGCCCCACATCGCTCATGCTCGCAGACTGCCTCACAAAAGACGAGGCCGAGCCTGCCGACCTGTTGTGAGAGAAGGTGTATGCGTCGTGGCAGCTATCAGCTTGCAGACGAGAGCGGCGTGTTGGCTCACGCGTGCCCCGAGCGAGCCCTACGGAAGCAGACATCGGCCCCTCATACTGCGCGACGGCACCCGCCTGGCCATGGTCAAGGTCGCGGCGAAGGGTAACCCGAAGATCGCCAGGAGCTTCTCAGAGGGCCTTCTCAAGGCGGGCGATGGCACGACCGAGGACTCGAGCACCGAGGCTCAGATCGGAGCCGACCTGCTGGACGACAGACTCACTGGCAGGGACGGGAAGGCAAAGGCCACCCTGGTCTACCACGCATCGGCGGGCAGCATCACGACCCAGGTCCCCCGCGATCGTGGAGGCCCTCGTCTACAGGCGCCTCACGCTCAGGAGGAGCTCTACCATAGGGCCTCGAAGCCGGCACAGGCACAACCAACTCCAGATGGAGCAATGGGACCAGTACGCGACAGACACCGAGGGGAGCCTGGCCGACGGCGGACAGGGTGTGAAGGATGCTTCGGCTCAGAGTGCGGCCGGCGCGGAGCCCACCCGCCCGATGGGGTTGCACCGCGAGACGGAGTTCCACGCGGGCCTTGGAGAGATCGGCCACAACATCAAGGATCCGCTCGGAGCTCTTCCAGTGGCGAGACGAGGTGCTGAAGCACCTGGCCAAGGAGTACGGCCTCCAGGCGGAGCCGCTGGACGACGAGGAGAGCAGCGCAGAACAGTGGGATCACCTGGCCAAGGACGCCCTCCCTTTGCGACCGAGGACGGGGGGCAGCAGCTGGACGACCCAGACATCCGGCCGCTCTTATTTTTTCGATGCGTGGGCCCCAGAGGTCCAGACCACTTCCCAGGGGCCGGCTTTTCGTCCTGAATCGTTTTTTGACGGTCCCGAGGCCGAGCGAGGGCTCCTAGAGGCCGAAAACGGCCGAAAACCCGCCGCTCCAATCCCACCAGCCCTCTGGGCGTCAGTGGTTTAGAGCGTTTCCTCTTCCACCCCTCCTTCTTCCCCTTCAGGGAGGGGTTTACCCCTCCCCCTACCCCCTCCCCACTGACCTGGACAGGGGGGGCCGCGATCGGTCAGAGCGTCCAAAACGGCATCGGCGAGGAAGCCAAAATCATTGATTTTACCACGGTTTGGGCCCCATTTTGGCCTTCTGAGGGGGGGGCTCCATTTTAGGGACCCCCCTTCTTTGATCGATTTCCTCCACAAGAGGCCCCCAGGATGCCCCAAGAGGCCGCAGGATGGCCCCAAGATGGCCCCAAGAGGCCCCCCAAGAGGCCCCCCAAGAGGCCCCAAGAGACCCCCCAAAGGCACCCAAGGTGCTCCCAGAGGCCCCAAGATGGCCCCAAGAGGCCCCAAGAGGCCCCCAGGAGGCCCCAAAGAGGATTCCGAACGGCCCACAGAGGCCCCCCCGAGGCACCCAAGACGCCGAGAAGCCCCTCAGGACGACCCTCTACTCGCCTGGGCGTCGTTTCTGGACTGGCTGGTGGGGATACTTTTTTTTGTTACAGCCGCAGGCGGAAGCGCCGGCGGCGAACAGTCACGGTCGGGCTGCGGCCGCGACTAAATTCTCGGGCGCGCGCGGGAGCCGCGGATCAGGCGGCCAAACAGCAGCGACCAAGGGAGTCTGAGAGGCCAGGCGGTCGTGCAATCCCAGGGAGTCTGAAAGAAGGGCTGGTGGGGATACGCGAAGCGTCTAGCATTTTTGGGAGCGTCGGACCTCTGGGGAGGATACCTGATGCGAGGACGGTGCCCAGATGCCGCTCGGGAGGTGGCCGGCTCCACCAGCAAGTCCAGGGGGTCGCCAGAGCAAGAGGCAGAATACCCGTGAGAGGCTGCCGCCTGCACGCACCCTGCAGCTCACGAGATGGACCCCCTTCGGGGTCGAGGCAACACTTCCAGGGCAGTGTTTAATACATAGGATGTTTTATATCTCGAATGTTTGATACATGATTAATGTATGCATAAATGTATGCATGAACTCATCGTTGTGTTTAATACCAAATCCCTACATCTTCAATACATGATCCGCACGCGGAGCATGTATTAAAAACGGCACTGTACAGTCGAAATCTGTAGTAAGGACGGGCGGTAAGGGCGCAAGGGCCTCGGACGCCGAAGTCGGCACTTTCGGGGCGGCGGACTGCCAACACCCTGGGGGGCTGGCCAGCGAAAACCGCGAGGGACGGACAGCAGAGGCAAGGACGCACGGGCGCCCCAAGGACATCCGTGAGTCCGGACTGTGAGCTTCGACTGCGAGCTCTGGGAGTGCTGATGTGCACTGCGCTGCCAGGCTCTTGCCTCGCTCCGCTGCTGCTTGGGCCCCGGTCTGCCTCAGGAGCGCAAGGGCTGCGCCGAGGAAGAGGAGTAGACGCCCTTGCTTCTTGCACAGGGCCCAGAGGGCCGGAGCCCCCAGCGCCAAGATTCCCAGAGGGCACCAGCTCGAGCTCTTGCGAAAACCAGGAGGAGACCACGAACGCCGAGCGGCTTCCAGCTGGGCCCGAGAAGAAGAAGAGTCCAGCTGCGGCAACTGGCATCCCAGCTCGCTGGTCGCCCCGTCCCAGCCCCTCATCATCCGCTTCCCTCGATAACTCATGACCGAGTGTTTGTTTGCGACTTGAGCTGCTGAACCTCCCGGAACACACTGGGAACCCGTGGAGCCCTCCCGGGACCGTGGAGACCTTTGAACACGTCCGTGTAAGCAGGGGCCGACCGTACCAGCAGACAGACTGGCAGGTCAGAGCCTGGGCATGTCCCCTACAGGCGGATGATGGAAACAAATTGCAGAATAGCCACACACACACAAAAAAAAAAAAAAAAAAAAAAAACGGGAGCGGCAAAAGAGGGGGGTGACGAAGATGGGGGGGGAGGCATTATAATTCAAGGCAAGTGCTGCGCACAGCTCGCAGGGCTACGCGCGCGCGAAGGCAATCGGATATCATAGAAGCCCGCTGACCGCCAGAATCACCGGTTCAGAACCACAGCCAGCCAGCCAGATTGCGGCCCAGTCGCAAGCAAAGCGAATGCACGCCGATCGTAACACAAGCAGAGGCCAGTCGCTACGAACTGAATTCAAAACACGCGCGCATTGGTCGATCAACGAGGCGTGATTGGACGTGCCATCCACCCGACCTAATTGTGTCTTCGCAACCCCCGGGGCCCTCAGATTCCGAGCATTTCGTAGCCGTGACGACGCGCGTTGCCAGATACCTGCCGCGGGGCACCCACTTGGCTCGACGGCTCAGGCACTGGCGACAGGGCACGGGCCAGGGGCCACGGCCACTGGGCATCAGGAAACGGGGCACGGGCATCAGTCCGTGGGCCGCGGGCCACGGACAATGAGCAACGGGCCGCACGCCATGGGCCACGAAGCGCTCCAGGGGCCACGGGAACGAGGAGGCCGCCCAGGAGGGGGGTGGAGCGACAGGAGGGGGGGGAAGCAGGAGGGAAAGGCGGGATGGGGGCGGGGGAAAGGGGGGAATCTGAAAAACGCGCATGTGCGTCGGTGAACCGCGTGACCTGGCCATGTGTTGTCGCAGAACTCGTGCCCACGCGAATCCCGCAGGGATTTTGATATAGTCTTTGTTTGTGACTCTGGGGCGCAAGGGGGATTTCTGGACCCTTGGCATGCGTTCTCGCGGAATTCCTGGCCAGTGCCAGGTATTCCCGGCAAACTCGCGTCCGTGCCATGTGCATGCTGGGAATGTCATGGCCAGTGCCATGCGTGCCCTCGGAACCCATGGTCACTGCCATGTGTTCCCGGCAAACTCGTGTCCGTGCCATTTGGTTCCTGGGGATTGCATGGCCAGTGTCATGCGTTCCCTCGGAACTCATGGCCGTGGCCAGGTGTTCCCAGCAAACTCGTGTCCGTGCCATGCTATGCTTTCTATGGGAATGTCAGGGCCAGCGTCATGTGTTCTTTCGAAACTCGAGGCCAACGAGCGGATTGAGTGCCACCGCTGGGCACCGAAAAGTTTTCGCGATCGGCCCCGTCGCAAACGCGCCGCGGCGCCGCGAACCACAGCATCGCGGGAACACGCGGCAATTGAGGTCACAGGCCAGAAGAGTGCCGAGAAACCACGGGCCGCCACGGGACCATGGAACCGCGAACCACGGGGCGCTCGGAGCCACGGTGCAACGGAACGCAATAACAATGAACATTTGCAACGCGGTAAGTTCGCATTGCGTCACTGGTGAAATGTGCCTCCCGACTGCGCGGGCACAACGATCTTACACAGCGGGTGCAAACAAACGCTCTGGTTGTTTAGTTTCGAGATTCATCATGAACTGAATCATGATACGCACACCCCCTAGTCCTCACCCCCCTCTTGGCCGCCCCCCCCAAAACCCAAAAAAAACAAAACTAGTCACGAGAGCCCGAAAAATCGTCCCCATCGTATTGTTTGGACTCCTCTTGAAGACTCCTCCCGTTGAGGAGCACGCCCGACTCGAGCCTGAGCACAGCGTCTCGGAGGTCCGCCAGCTTCCCTGGACCGGCGCTGGACATCCTCCCCTGGCGCGCCGAGCGCGGCGGGGGCCGCGCCGCAGGCGCCGCCCAGGGGGGGGCCCCCCAAAACGCCGATCCGAGGGCGCGGCGCGGGGCTCCGAGAAGCGGTGCGCACACCGCGCGTCGGTCTCTTCGAGGCACGGGGAGGGCCAAGTGCCAGCAGGAGCCCGGCCTGCCTCCAGGGGGCCCCAGGTGTCCTGGGTCTCGACGGCTCTGCTGTGGAGAGCGCGACGTTCCCGCACCAAGAAGCGGGGGGCGTCCTGGGGTCTCAGGGTCGGGCCTCTTGTGGAAGGGTGCCTTGTGGTCGAGCTCCTGCTGTAATGTGGAGGGCTCAGGCGGTGTGGTTTGAGCAAAGGGCCACAACACAATCTCCTCCCCGAAGGCTCTGAGAATTTGTTGAGGAGGGTCCCATGAGCAGGCCCGGGCATTTCATCACTGCTCCATCCATGGAGGAGGGGGGCGGATGGAGAGGTGCAAGGGTAAATTCACGGGGCAAACGATACTGTACACAACACGGACGTCAAATCCTGGTCTCCACCTGCAGGAAGAGGGGACGAGCGCACGATGTTCACCTGTCAGCTGATCAACCCCCGAGAGCAAGAA